TCAATTTGTCAAAAGAAATATTTTTTCAATGAAAATGTAAGCGGATAAACGCTAGAACAAATTTTAGATTTAGTTGGTCGTTTGGAACCAGATTCAAATTCAAACCTCATCTTTTTCTAAAAAGTAATCGAAGGCAAACGCTCATACGCCAACTAAGGAAATGTGGAAAACCCTCAATTTTTTAAGGTACAGGGGGCAAGTTTGGTATTTTGCTTTAAACTGCGAAAAAATTAAATTTGTTGCACAAGGTGTAGGATAATTTCCTTTTGATAATTTTGCATCTAGTTTTATATGCATTTCTCTTTTTACAATTGAAATATAACTAAAGGTCTTTCAGACTCAACTTATACAAGGTTTTCAAACTGCCACAGGCTCTGTCGAAAATCGAAAGCATAAATTTTAATTTTAATTTAAAGTTGCAACAGACGCTTGCTTAGAAGTATGTTCAGAATAGAGTCCAGAAAATTCTAATACTCCCTTGGATTTATATATTATAAAATCGCAACTTAATATTTATTTACTTCTCGGGCAAACTTCCAATTGAAACGGCTTCTCATAAAATGCTTGTTTTCTTTGGCAATAAACCTTTGCAAGTTTCGAACATTAATCCAGCATGAGTTTCACGAGCAGCAAAGAAAGAAAATCTCTACGAAATTTACTCGGAAAGTTCCGAAAACGAAGTTTGAAATCTCACGTAGAAAGTTTTGTGCAGCACACACAAAACGAAACGTGATATCGTGGCAGCGAAAATCGCAACTTCACACGTGTCTGTCAGTCCTAATGGTTCCTCAAAGAATAATTTACTCAGTGCTCGGGTTAATGCAATTTCGCTACTCTCTTCCGCAAACTTTTATTCCTTCTTGCTTGCTGGAATGGAGTGAATTGGCTTTTTCTTGGAAACACACACTGGATGCAGGAAATCCCGAACGAAACTATGGAGGATTGGTCATATTCTGGCAATTGAACCAATTCTTGGATCGAATGAAATGTAGGCCGAAGTTTAAAAATGTTTTCCTCCGGAATCAATAAAACTAAATAGTTTATTTTGTAGGCACTTAGTAAGGCAAAGTCTGCTCTAAAAGTGGAAAACGTTTTCATTTTCATTCACTATTAGGCAATTTTCAAGACTTTGTCAAATCTGCGTCTGATTTTCATGTAGGCTTTTGCAGGCCAGAGTTTATCATTTATTACGTATGTTACCCACAAAGTAAGTGAGTCAATTTTCTTGCATCCTGCAGGGCAAAGTCGCTTTTCTACGTGAAGAAAGTAGCAGTTTTCAATGAAGATCCGGCTATTCTTGACAAATTTGCAAAGCTGCGTTTGGCTTACGACGATGTGTTTGCAGACCGGAGTTTGTCATTTGTTTATTCAAAAATTGACAAACTGAGACATTTAAGAAAAGATAAATTTAGTTTAGGGCCAAAAGTTTAGAACGTCAGGCGTCATAAAGTAATTTTTAATAATTTTTCAAATTTGCATGTGGTTTTCSCGGATATTTAAAGGTCCTAGTTTCACATTTTTTTGCACAGAAGTTTGCAAAGTTAAAAAGTCWSTTTTGTATAAATTGTGTAAGACAAGGTGCCTTCTTCCTTCTTCTTTTCTTCTTCTTCAAGGATTTTCGATTTTCTTTATTTTGCTCGTATTTTGTGCTCTTTATACACGCCGAAGTTTCACGGTAACTTTCTCAGAAAATCGCTAAGTTTTTTACTTGCATTAGTTTTAGAGGGCATAGTCTATTTCATCAGTTCAATAGTTTCGATTTTCAGCCGTCATCAGGCTATTTCCAATATTTTGTCAACATTTCGATAGAATTTTGTGGTTGTTTTGCATAAACAATGAGTTGTGATTTATTTTCTCGCAAATCAATTAAGCTCCAGATTCACTGTTCTATATCTGGAAAAAGTTTCGATTTTGAGTCATCTTCAGGCAATTTTTGAGAACTTTATGAATGCGCTGTTGCTTTTATAAGTTTTGCAAAATTTATTGCAAAAAACAAGTTTTGCTTGCAACGTTCAGTCAGAGAATGATTAAATTTTTTACAAACTTCTTTTTGGGTATTTCGCCTCAAAAATTTTTGTCTTTAAAAGAGAAAATTTCCTCACGTCTTTTATTACAGATTGATAAATAGTGCTCCTATTTCGCACTAAGAACGAATTATTTATCAAAAAGTAATCAAGAACTATCAC